TGCACCTGCCGGCGGCCTCTTCTGGCCCCGGGGGGGCCAAGGCGCGCAGCGGCCGCGGGGTCCCCAGCGCCTCGGTGGGCGGCCTGGCGGCAGCCGGGACAACCGGCGAATTCGCTTTCGCCTACCTGGCCTGGCTCATCTATTCCATCGCCTTCACACCTAAGGTGGTGCTTATCCTGGGCACGTCCATACTGGACCTCATTGAGCTGCGCGCGCCCTTCGGCACCACCGGCTTCCGCCTTACCATGGCGCTGTCGGTGCCCCTGCTCTACAGCTTAGTACGCGCCATCAGCGAGGCGGGCGCCCCGCCGGGCTCGGCCGGACCCCTGCTGCTGCAGCCCCAGCAGCACCGCGCCGCCGGCTGCTTTCTGGGCACGTGTCTGGACCTGCTCGACAGCTTCACTCTCGTGGAGCTAACGCTGGAGGGCCGCGTGCCGCTGCCCGCGCACCTGCGCTACCTGCTCATCGCCGTCTACTTTCTCACCCTCGCCTCGCCGGTGCTCTGGCTGTACGAGCTCAACGCCGCGGGCCTGGCGGCTTCATCCTGGGGCCAGACCTCGGGACCCGGCAGCTGCAGCCGCCTTCTGCGCCTGCTGGGCGGCTGCCTGGTGGACGTGCCCTTGCTGGCGCTGCGCTGCCTCTTAGTGGTGAGCTACCAGCAGCCCCTCTCCATCTTCATGCTCAAGAACCTCTTCTTCCTTGGCTGCCGCGGTCTGGAGGCCCTGGAGGGCTGCTGGGACCGCGGGAGTCGGGCCTCCCCCAGTCGGTCCAGAGGGAGCTATGGTGCTCCGCCTTCCGCCCCACCGCCACCTCCACCGCTGCCACCTCCAGGAAGCTCCCAGCTGGGCCACTGCATCTCGGAGAATGAGGGGGGCGCCCATGGCTATGTCAATACGCTGGCGGTGGCCTCCCAGAATTGAGGGGTAGGAGGGCAGGGGTCTTGCTTTTGAGCTGGGAGTCGCCCCGTACCTTGTCTTATGACCGCTTCCACCCAGATTTGATCAGGCTCGGTTTAGAAGAGGTCGCTGTTAATAAGGCTAAGGGCCTGTGTGTCTTTCCACCAGAGTGCACTCTGGTGACGACTGCTTGGGAGGGGTCTGACCAGAGTTAATGGTGAGAAAGGTCAGTCCACTTACCCTGTTCTCCCTTCTCCATGTCCTGCCCCAGTCCCAGCTTCCAAGGGGCTGGAACCTCTGCTTCTTGCTTTTCCCACCTCCGTGCTAATTACCATCCATTGGGGGAAGAATGGAGGAAAGACAGTTCCCAAGCTGGGGTGCTGCCCCCTTGCTCTGTCTCATTCAGGCTGTGGTTAGAGGCCATTGTCCCATGCCTTGAAACTGACCCCAAATCCACTCTTCCCCTGATGTGGCTATTGGATGTTTTCAGGGTGGTAGATACAAAGTGTATGTCTGTGTGTGTGTGCCTGCTGTGTGCAATGCTGTTTTCTTGTGTCTACCCTATGGCCCCTTGCAATGGGTAGGAGAGCTGGAGAGGCCTCTCCCCATACTTACTACCCCCTCCTCTTTTCTGCCTGCAGTTGTGATCATGAATTCCCAGGAAGAGCGGCTCCTGGGAGCAGCTCATCAGGGGCTTCCTCACTCCCACTCCTCTCTTCTTAGCTAGGGGCAGGAGGGGCCCATTCTTAAGGACCAAACTGCACCCTTTCTTGGGTGAGCGAGCATTTCTACCTCCGTGCTTTCAAGTTTTGTTGCATCATGTAGTGATGCTGCTTGCAAAAAATAAAGACAAAATACTCAGAAGTTGTATTCAACATGGACACTGGATCCAGCTGTGGTTTGGTACCAGTGTTAGTACAGGGTCTGTGGAGTATCAGCCATTGGCTTGCCTGCCTTCTCTTTTTCCCTCTGCGCCCACAACTCTTACCCTTTCCATGTTTTGGTGCTGGCTTGGCTAGATCTTGGTTCAGAGCAACAGGTTTGGTGGGATTCCTGAGTAGATGTGAAGTTGGGCTTCCTATGGGCCCAGAGGAGTAAGAAGCCCCACTTCCCATCTGTCCTCCCTCTAGGAAGCTTGGTGTAGATCAGAAG